GCTACTTTTGAGCGAGACTGTGGGGAATGTCTATACACAGTCGGGAATGATAATTCCCAATTGTGGTTTATGGGTAGACTATAATGATTATAAAGATAGCATTAAGGCGCTTCCTGTAATGGCTCATGATGAACGACGTGAATAATATTCTTTGAAAACGTTTTCATTACGCGGACGTTGATTTCATTAGAATTTTTCGGACTTTTGTTCACTGCTTCGGAGAGTGCAGCGTATTACACTCAGGATCTCCTACAAGTTGGATTCGAGGTACCATAAATTAAGTAACTCATAGATCTGTTACTCAGAACAGGACTCCTAACCTTGAGTCTCTGTCATTTTACGTGATCATGCACAGTTCTAAGCAATGTATACAAATGTTATTCTGCCATCATGCCGATGAAATGCATCCTTTTTGGAACAGAATCTCGCGCAATAATTGGCTTGAAAGGCAAAACTTGACCTCACTCAATGTTTTTTTGGTATCGACAGCGCAAACCCTATCCCCCAACCTTTCATTAAAAACTGTACGGGTTTGTTTTATGTTTTGTGTCAAATTTAATGGCTACTCTGAATTTACTTTATGTAGCATAACATTATTTTACCTGTTGATTTCTGACGTATAATAACACACTCGTAAGTGTGCAATGTAACTCTGGGACAGCTGCTATGGCTCATTGCAGCTCTCTGATATACGCCCTCTCCAGCGCTCTGTAGTATGCACTTGCTCTTGTCATGCTTAGAAATGACAGGTTTTGTGGCATCATTGCAATAACAACAGGCTCAATAATATATCTCCTGACATCATCCAGAGAAGTATTCGTTTTAAGTGTTCCGGCATCATTACAACAAGAACTTTCTTCTAATAAAGCGACTGACGTCAGTATATTCCTAAAATTCTATCGTCTTATTTTCTTTGTAGAAAAAATTCTTAACATATAGCATGTTTCCACATTAATAAAATTAAAGTTTTTTAAATTCGGCTTAGAATGAATATTTCTATCTTGTGCTGTCATTGAGATTTTCTAAGTTTATCTAATTAAAAGATATTTCAGAAATATTTAATTGTTATATGCATTAATTTTCGGGGAATCGGAATTTTGCTCATTCGCATCGTTATTGGCGGTATGGTCAATTTGTATCTGGTAAATAAATATGATTTCTAGGTAGAAATTTATTCTAGCGAGTGAAATTAATGAGATTATTGATGCTCTAATTTCTTAGCTAAATGCACCGTCTACTCCAAAATCCAGCATTGTGTCAAAATTTCACGAACTTAATCTATCCGTACTATCTATAATAAAATATACTCACTCGCTATAGAATATTTTTTTAGATTGTGCGCATGGATTTGTGGCATTACTATTACTTTCCTAAGACTTTGTATTCATATACGTCTGAAATATTCTTTAGGTTCATATAAGTGTCAACTGGGTGCTCAAGTCCACTTCTCCGCTTCTGCCATGCAAAATAAATGTCAATAAAGTTATTTATTGCCGTGCATTTAATAACTTTAATAAATAACATCGCCGTGCATTTAATCGACGAATTTAATTACGAATATCGCGATCTCTGCGGCAAATGGGTCACGACACAATACTGGGTTTACACTCATTTCCCCGCGTATTTTGAACACAGATATTGTTGCGATTTAAAACTTTGCATGGATGGTTGCTCGTATTTAGCATTTGAACATCCGCGCTGTTTTAAAAGTAGAGATGCTGAAGTAGCAACGTTTGAAATATCTTTGTTTTGTATTACTTCGAAGTTTAATTATTTGGATGGTTATAAAGCTGGCTGTTGCTAGGCGGAGGTCCATTGCTAGGCGAGTTGGTAATTAATGATCCTGCGTTGTGATCGTGAGTGATGGTTGCTCTGCATCATCAGTCCGGTGGCCGAGAGCGCGGCGGCTCTCAATGGCAATATCGCCGTTAGCTCCAACTATGCTCAAGTTTCCCCTAGCAACAGCACTCAGTCCCTCACTGTCATAATTTAGAGCGTGTTTGATTGTCGATGAAGTTTTGGCTGGCTAACTCTCCTCGAGGTTTTTTAGCTGTTGATGTGGTGCCCCAATTGATCTGTGAAATTTTTCGTGATCGGGCACATTCATGGATTATTAATATATGTTGCAGTCACGACCGATTGCATTCTTGCCAAAATTTTGGGATTTAAACGTTCAGATTGAGAATTTTCTCGTTCGTCATGTGATGCTGAAAGGCTAAGAAGGCACGTATTATAAATCGTTAGGTTGTATTTCTAAATAATTGTATTCGAGATTTCATCATCCTATCAAAAGCCAATGAAGTAAAATCGTGCATTAGCATTCTTCGTAAAAGGAGCTGTTACGCAATTTTCAAATGGAATAATTCACAATTAATTTTTTTTCTAGTGCTTAACAGATGCTCGAAATTTCTGACAAACGACTTTTTTTCAAATTTTGAGAGATATATTTGATTAGCAAAGCCGTGAATCTGCTGAAAATGTCAAATTCGCGATCTTTATTGCACGAACATCGTGATGCCTGTGAATAACGCATAAGTCATACAAAACATTCAAAAGCAAACAGGAACATACCATAATTTTTCGGATTTAAATCACTAATTTTTTTCGTAGTATGAATTTGTGTCCCACTATCCTGAATGCAAATTTTAGGATTTTGTTTTACGTTAAGTACCTCAAAGTAAATATAGATTTCACAAATTAATGAGAGAAGTAAAATTTTTATTATCTTGTCGCTTATCAAAAACAATGTCTTACTTTCAATGTTTGAACCATGAAAATATGTTAATGGCATCATAAAAGCACAGCAATGATAGCGATGGGAAGTTGACTGTGATTTTCGACTGATTTACGAAAATAAAAAATCGTTGAAGATACAGCGCCAAGAATTCGAATCACTCGTGCGAGACATTTTTCATATATATCAGGTTTCCGCACTCTGCTATTGAAGGCGTCGCTTTTTAGCCATGTGATAAATCCACACGCGCTCGAGATCGCCTGAGATTAATTTGGGATCAAATTTCAAACCAATCTCTGAACCATCGATAATATATATATATATATTTATATACCTGTGGGATACAAACATGTTAATTAAATTCTTCAAATCTTTTCGCACCCGAACGATCAGGGACTTATTGATGTTCATCCTGTTTTCAAAATATTCTCCTAAATGTATTTTGGTTGGTCGTGTGCAAGTTTGATTTGTGATCAAAATGATATGTTTTCAGTAATTTTTTCTCCATTATATTGTTGGGTTTTCCGCTCATTGTCTGCACCTTTTCTTGCCTCCAAATCCGATGTGTCAAACAATTCGTGTTGTGGCTCGAAAAAGTATGGATTTTGTGAACAGCGTTCATATTTTCAAGGAAAAAAATGAACGGAAACTCAAGAGTATGAAATTTCTTCTGTACCGTCAGGCGACATTAGTAATTTAAAATAAAATAATGATCCAATTCCTTCCGAATCCTCTTAAATAATGTTTGATCGATAAAGTTTGACTTGGACCAAGTTAGTTACAACTTCTTGGCAGCAAATCTAATATAGATGAGGCTGCTGACAATCATCCATAAACCTCCGATGATGGATGCAACTTAATCTTCTCGTTCAGCCATAATCTGCTGATCAAACAGCTCATACTGTGTATTCTTCGAGGCTGTATCGGCTTCTGCTTCAAGTTGCGTATTGAGGATATTGATACTTCCTGGTTGATGGAACTTCTTCCAAATTCCTCAAGCAAGGCATTTAGCTGAGTATTTTTTTCAGTCATCTAATCAGAAAAAATTTTCTTTTATGCTTTCCTGAAGAACGGCGATAGATTTGCCTGAAATGATTTCTAATGCTTATGCATTTCATGTACAGAAAAGATATTGTTTTGCGTTTGACTTCATTATTATAATATTATTTCATTTAACATTATGAAAATGTCCATAGCGATAGTAAAACTATCTTTTACTCTTTAACGAGGTTAGTAACATAAATGGAGGCGTAAAAACAGATAACCTTTAATAACTAATAATAATATAGTAATGTAAAAGTATTCCACTGTTTCTATATATAATAATAATAGTATTCCAACTATTAAGACCAATTCCGGTGCCCTTGATTGAGGAACTTGGAAAAAACCAATACGTAATACCTTAAAGCAAAGGCAATGGGGACTACACATGCAGAATCTCAATTTGTACAGGAAAAGACTGGATACGCCGTAGCTTGTCCACCTCTGATCTAATGAAAGAGTTTATCCCCTCTCAACTCCAAAAAGAACCTATCTCCAATATCATTACCTATTTTATGTATTACATGACCTATTTTATGTGTGTATTTCTCCGTATGTCCAACAGCGTTTTTGTCTTCGCTTGTAGCTCATCAAATAATTTTTTTTCACATTTTCAATGCCCATATCACCGTCGATCAGAGCGTTGCATTTGCTTGTGCGTGCTTTATATATATTTGAAAATATTTGTTTAATATATATTGGTAAAAATGAACACTATAATATTGGTATAATAGATTCAAGTATGTGAGTAAGCTGTTAATATTTTTACATCTGAGCAGGTGAACAGTTTGCGGTGTTATGTTGAGCCTGTTTACATTAGGTCGCTCGCATCAACTCTCATTTTGTGTCGTTACGAGCACATTAGTACATGCAAAAGCCAATATGAGCTTTAAAGTGTTTGCAATTAATTGTTCAAAAATATCTTTTACATGCAGAGAAACTTCCATTTTATCCCGTGCTCTGAGTGAGGCCATGAATGATTTTATAGCAATAATAAACTTTCCAGTACATAGGCTTTCAAGTCATGTCAGGTGTTCCGTCTCAGTGTCTGAGCTCTTAATGTCAGTCATCTATTATTATGGCTCTGCGATAAGGAAGTCAAGCTCGTATTCTACTAACATGTCTCATTAGCCGCTCAGTGCAGTGCTGCTTGCGCATTCATTGACCAAGCCTTATTTATTCATCGCTTCCATCCATTAGCTTTAGATTGCTCTTTGTTCTTCAGCACCTCGGCCTGGCGGATCTGGATCAGACTCTGGAGGACATCCTCGCCGAACACGTAGAATATGTCCAGAAGTCCGTAGATGTTTTCTGTGCACTCATGGAGAACGAAGTGTTCTGGGGAGCCGAGGAGCGACATTACATCGGCATCATGGTTCGTTTTATTGAGTTTAGTCTGTTAAACCTCGTCATATTAGTAGGAAGGACACTGCATTTCCTTCTTGGATTTAATGAAAGTCAATGGTTTAATCCTATAATATCAGTCGGAGCGATTGAATTTACGTCCATCTCAACTATTCTGGACATTAATTTTTCGAATTGAATAAAATTACAACCATGAAATTCGAATGTAACAGTAGAAGCTAACAGCCAATAAATTGAGATGCGATCGGGTGAATATAAAAGAGTTGAGAATAATTGATTCACTCACATTTATTGTAGGTTCGAAATTGTTTCTGAACATTTTTTTGCTCACACGTTTATTTTTTAATCTCAATATAAATTATTCGGAATAAAGTTCCCTTAAATAAGAACTTTCATGGCTCATGTCATACGTTAGTAATCATCACGCAATGAAGGGCGGTTTTATAGCCTGCATGCCGGAATAAGCGTTCGATATTTTCAAACAGACTATCATTTTTCTAGCCAAATTTTTGAAGAATTTTCGTTCCTTTAATTCGTGATAATTTTAACGAGGAATATATATTAAGCGTGAGGTTTGGGGTACAGGCCGCGTGTCGCCACAAGTGTTCAGTGTTGGTGTCGGAGCAACGTTCGCGGTTCTTGGAGTGCGGTGGTCCAGAACATTGGCTGGAGGGCCTCCATAACGCCCCTTACCGCCTCCAGTGCCTACACCAAACTAATGTCATCCTCGCTCACCGTCCATGGATGTTCAACCGAGCTCACATACAAGTAAATCTTTGAGTTATACTACAGCGTTTTGTAGATGACTGACTTAATTCTTCTAGTGTCTCTGACGGAATTGCTATTTGATTTTGAATAATTCAAATTTTTAGTTAAGGTTCACTTAGTTCATAAATCTGTGTTGTCGGAGGCTAATGTTGAAAAACCTGTTTAATTCAACGTTAGCTTCGGTGCTAATATTTAATATGCTTTTGGGCAGCTGTGTTGTCGTTTTGTTACGACGATCTCCATTAATATCAATGGACGTTGCTTTTTTTGAGAACGGCACCGTTAAGTAAATATTGATTTAGGATGCTGCAATAATGCTGAAGTGAAACGCTCTTCGTAACATTTTCCAAATACCATTGATTCATGAGTGATTCTCGATTCTAAGACTTACTACTTTGAAGTCTATTCATACTAAGGCGAAATTGAGAATGAATAAATAAATAAATAGTTTTGCTGAACATACATTTCATCACATGATAATATTAATTGTTATTTTGGGCAGCAATTAGTGAAGTCTGGCTTGAGCTTACCGGAGGTGGTCGTGGCCGTGACGATCATGGCTTACTTCCATGCCATGTCGAGCATGATTCATGCCCTGGGCATCGAGGCTGTGTCTGGCGACAACCAGTCCATGTATCCTCCTATCCCTCTTGTGAGTGCTCAGAAGTATCCTCTCATTCCTCTCGTGAGTGCTCAGAAGTATCCTCCCATTCCTCTCGTGAGTGCTCAGAAGTATCCTCCCATTCCTCTCGTGAGTGCTCAGAAGTATCCTCTCATTCCTCTCGTGAGTGCCCACAATTATCCTCCAATTCCTCTTGTGAGTGCCCACAAATATCCTCCAATTCCTCTTGTGAGTGCTCAGAAGTATCCTCCAATTCCTCTTGTAAGTGCCCACAAGTATCCTCCAATTCCTCTTGTGAGTGCCCACAAGTATCCTCCAATTTCTCTTGTGAGTGTCCACAAGTAACCTCTCGTTCCTCTTGTGAATGCACACAAGTAACCTCCCATTCCTCTTGTGAGTGCCCACAAGTAACCTCCCATTCCTCTTGTGAGTGCCCACAAGTAACCTCCCGTTCCTATCGTGAGCGCCCACAAGTAACCTCCCATTCCTCTTGTGAGTGCCCAAAAGTCGTCTTACTTGTCACGCAACCAGCGTACGTACAATCAACGTTTTCATCCTCTGAATCAAAAGAAAAATAATATCTTTGTCGCCTTTACTTCTTTACCTTCATGTTGTAAGCGTGCAAACGCGCCAACATTTTGCCCGGATCTTACATGGCACAACAAAATAGTGCGACATAAGACATGAATAGCAATCAACATGTATAATTCATCCTTGGGAGGTCGATTCAATTTAAACTTATTGCCCCACAAATTTTTAACGTTTAAAATTGAAGTAAGAGTTCTAGTCGCCGAACGGAAGCTAATATTCTCTTCCGTGGTCTTTTATTCAGGATATTTATTTCGTTTTCATCGAACTTTTAGTTGCGAATCTTCCCTTAAAAATTGTCACCGGATAACTATGTCCATTTTTTCCTCCAATATTCTCTGGTTTACATTGGTTACACATCAATTCTACATTAACGTCAGTGGGTTCGGGCTTAAGGTCTAACGGAGGCTTGCCCTGGGCAACCGCTTCAACTAACGAGGTCTTGCCCTGGGCAGCCTCTTGAACTAACGAAGTCTTGCCCTGGGCAGCCTCTTGAACTAACGGAGGCTTGCCCTGGGCAGCCTCTTGAACTAACGGAGGCTTGCCCTGGGCAACCTCTTGAACTAACGAAGGCTTGCCCTGGGCAGCCTCTTGAACTAACGGAGGCTTGCCCTGGGCAGCCTCTTGAACTAACGGAGGCTTGCCCTGGGCAGCCTCTTGAACTAACAAAGTCTTGCTCTGGGCAGCCTCTTCAACTAACGGAGGCTTGCCCTGGGCAGCCGCTTGAACTAACGAGGTCTTGTCCCGCAACTAACGAGGTCTTGCCCCGCAACTAACGAGGTCTTGTCCCGCAACTAACGAAGTCTTGCCCCGCAACTAACGAGGTCTTGTCCCGCAACTAACGAAGTCTTGCCCTGAGCAGCCACTTGAGGCGTGTGGGTCGGACTCGTCGCCACGGTCGTCGGAGCTCGCTAAGGGCGGTGTGGCCGTGCTGCTGCAGCGCATGGAGAAGATCTCTGCCTGCCCTGACCACGTGGCCGCCCTCGGCTCCTTATCCTCCTCCAGCAGGTATTATCTTTGTCTTGTAGATTGTATTTTATTGCAATAGTTAGTATTAACGTGTGTTTTAGAGTTGTTTTTATACATGTGCGAGGTGATCGATATTTAACGTTTCGATTTATTCAAATTGAACATTTTGTAGATTTGTGCAGTGAAACATGAGTTTTGGACCTTCACGATGAATCTTTATACCTTCAGAAAATGTGAATTTAACCATGGTTGAAATTGTAAGAGAACGTATTGTAATTATTGAGTTTTTCAATGTAACTAAATTTTGTGAAGAAATGTGCAAGGAATATGATGCCCCAGCGTATGATTCGTTTCTCTTGTAGGTCCTTTTCCACGCTCATCAATATTATTAATTAATTATAATGAATTGATTGTTAGTATTGAGTAATTTTTATTCGTAGCAATTCTTTATAATATTACAACAATAATTTTCATGTACGTACTACCCCAAATTTTTTGCTACCCTCAATTTGCATTTGTTTGAATTTTCAATGACATATTGTCATGATGCATGATGCAGACAAAGCTAATTTATGAATGAACTTGAAATACGTTGGCAGAGCGTGTTGAGTCTCGTATTCTGCTATTCTGTTTATTGTGTCTAAGATCAATATATTCTAAGATGCCACCTGAACACCCCTAATGTAGATCATTTACGTTTCAGCGAGTGCAGTGAAGGAAATTTACACAATATATCAGGCCCAGAGCTGCCTGCCGACCCAGCTCTCTTCGACACCTCCGCTGATGACAAGTATAGGCCTTTCTCCAAATACTCGCCGAATATGAACTTCATTTACAAAGATTTTTATCGAAGGGGAAACAAGAGTGATGCTCAGACTCTCAAATACCAAGTGAGGTTCTTAGAATACTTTTTTATTACTCGAGCTGCTGAACATGAAATGAGTTAGACTTTAACGCTCGCATTAAAATTTATAATGCTTACTCATTAAATAAGTAAGAAATAAGTGGTATGAACTGTTCAAAATTAACCACACCCGTTTTTCAGGAAGTTGTGTTCTAGGATGTTTTCTGTTAGATTCTTAAAAGGTTCTTGTAAGTTCATGTTTTGTCCATGTTAGCAACTCATGTACGTTTGGAAGCCATATTATTGTCCTGTTTTCATATCTTATTGCATTGAACCCTATAAATTAGATGTCCCAAGTAAGCTATTCGCTGTCTCGACCTTCCAGCACCTATGGGAAGACATGGGCTTCACTACAGTAGCTAAATTCACGTCACAAGAACTGGCAGATTGTCTGGACAGCAAATTCCGGACGGCGTCAAGCATGACGTATCACACTTGCGGCAACCGCAACAACGTCAACACTGCGCCCTTTAGACGCGCCGTCTGGAACTACACGCAGTGCCTCTTCGGCATCCGGTGAGATCATGTTAAGCAATTTTATGTGTTGCTCAGATGTGAAAAATTTTCTTATCTTTGAGGGAGCTTTTTCTGTAAATATAAATAGTAATAGTTTTTTGAACAACTTACTAATGAATATTCTATTTTTCCCATAATTTGCACTTGCGCATTTGCGGATTCCGCACATGAATCTTAGACGTTTTATCTTGTATTAATTGAGATTAGATTTTCAATATTCGCAACTTGCGGGTTGATTTGCGGGTTGCTAGACTTCTTCTCAGATTATATAAAAAAGGCTCTTATCTTCAAGTCACCGTCAAGTGCTTCGGCTTAATTTGTGTCTACGTTGATATTTCTCTCGTTCTTGTATTATTATTATTGAAATGTTTCTTGACTGACGTTGATCCGACGATTATGGGCCGAAATATTGTTAATGGCCGAAAAAAACAGTTGTATTGTGTGCAGACGTGACGATTACGACTACAGTCACGTCAACATGTTGCACTAATTGTTGTATTGTGTGCAGACGTGACGATTACGACTACAGTCACGTCAACATGTTGCTCGAACGTCACCTGAAAGTTTTCCTGAAAACCTTGAGTGTGGCGCCCGAGACTTTCCCTGACGACCTCAAGCTCCTGCCGTCCATACTGAAGGAGCTCAAGCCCAGCGAACAGGTCAGGCCGGCAGTCTTATTCCAAGTCGATGCGTCCCATCTTTCCATCTATATTTCCAGTTACCTTTTACTCCACCATTCCGACAATTATATTTTCTCTCATCATCAAGCCTAATGCTAACAAATTTTAAGGTTCTAACCTTCTGATACCATAATGGTAGACTACAAATGCTGACTTGCTATGGGAGTAAATTGTAGGGAGAAATTCTTTCTAGATCGTTCAATTAAATCTTGCGATACTAGCAGCCAAATGATCTACTCGCAGCTTCTTACTTAGACTTAAACCTTCCGACTTTACGAAAAGCGTTTCTTGTTGCAAATAAGTAAGACATTTTTTATTGATTCAGCTCGTAATTATCATACTACGTAAAAAAATTAATTTATCATTACATAAACTGCCAATCGTGTTAGTTTTTGTTGTGACTGAAAAAATTTTTCGTTTCTCTGTTGTAGATTTAAACCCATCAAAAGATCGTTTGCCCTATTAAATCTTTTTAACTTAGAAATTCGATGGCAATGATACAGTTTGCTTAGGTTGTGTTTTCTGCTCGTATTTTATTTCTTCATCCAAAGAAGTGGTTGACTGCTTGCGGTATGATGTGTCGTCTTTCACTTCATGAAGTGATGAATAGAATACAAATAACCGCAGCCTATGCTAATCAAAACTTAGATTCAATAATGTGTGGAAGTATTTAAATAGTTCAGTTGATTTACGCTCTATTGATTGTGTTGTTCATATCGAAAGACTATTCCCAATATATTGTGCATCTTTTTCTGTCTCTTTTTATTTTCGTCGCAACCAATGGTATACTTGATAATTGATCCTCAATTTATTACGTCTATCCCCTGCGAACATAAAATTGCTTCCATTTGCATTAATGTATATTTTTTGTGGCAGGTTCACGTTGTGATCTTGGCAGCTGAGGCGCGTCTGCAAGCTGAGATGGTTTATGCGATGTTGGCTATAGAGCGCTACTATGTATGCGGATAAATAGATCATAGCTTAAGTGTACGATAAGATATTCAGCGATCTTCGTGGCATGACAATTATGTAGCGTGGCAAGTGTATGTACATGCGTTTTGGATTCAAGCTCTTTAGTGCTGGTTTCAAATATTGATCAAATTCGTCGTAATTGAGATTGAAACCTTGTCGTGTTTTGTTGAAAGTATTGTCTTGAGGAGTAGGATATAATTAGTGTAGTGTAAACCTCTGCTCGCTGACGCTTCGATGATATTGTAAGTCTTTACCGCCATCTATATTGTTTCGTTTCCACTGTGGACCGCATTTGGATCCCCGAAACCAACGATGTTTTGAGTTTGTTAATGTGATTCCTTCCCCGATTATATTCTTGAACAAATCGCGATATATTTTAAGGATATTGTCTATTGCAGTTAAATTCTTCACTGTTTACATTTGTTTGTAGCGTGTTCCTTGTGAAGTCCCGTCCGGTGTATGACGAATGGTTCGCAGGACTCATGTAGAGTGTGCACCAGCTTGTATCGCAGCTAAAAATACCCAAAAGATATTCTATTTTTCGCAGATGTATTCACATTTATTATTATTCAAACGATTATTAGTAATTAATGCGACGGACTTATTTATTATTTAAATAAGTCAGTCGTATTATTAGCATACATAATTAGTATTGTCAGTGGTAGAACTTTTGTGAATTCTACGAAGTCGTAATTACTTTGTCTTTCATCGTTGTTGGTAGCTTTTGCTACACTGGACTTGGACAACTACCTAGAATGTCTGCCGTCAATGCTGATTCCTGATGATGCAGTTTCCATGTATTGTAGTTAAAGCACAAATAACCGAACGCTTCCTTTTCAAGAGCTTCACATTCTGCACAGATGTTGGCCAAGTGTGCTACTTTTGTATAAAATATAATTCTGTCGAAATTAAATCACCTTTTTCTTTCAGAGACATAAATCGTCGTTTGGTGCTAACGTTTGTTCTTTTCTAATGCGGTCAGTCCAGATCCACTTCAAACACCAAAAAGCAGCATCAACCCAGTCCAGATTAAATGGCTGCATGCATGCTTTTCTTCCTCAAAGCAAATTATGGTTACAAAGTCTTCATTTTTCGCCGACTAGTGCGAGAAAATTTTATTTTGGTGTGATGCTATTGTGACCTGCACTTGTGTGTTCTTAAACTTTGCTGGAAACTCAGTGTAGAATATATTTAAATCCTTCAACTTTCGCCTTTTATGAATATTCAGTTGATAAGATCAGTTAGGTTGGTGATATCTCAGTATATTAATTTCTATTCATAAGAGTTCTGAAGTAGGTAAAAATTCAATTCATACACTAATATTTTCAACTCAGTTTAAGACTGGGAAAAAATTTTACGTCGGTACTTGTTACGTACGCAATTATTTGAGAACAGACGCGATCAATGAAGATGAATCTTGCAGCGATGGATTTATGTTCATTTGATCTTTAAAAACATCGTTTCCATAATTATGCTACTAATTTTTTGCTCAATTAAAATAAGAATTCTTTTAGAATTTAACAATATTGTATTAGTTCCTGTAATGATCAAGAGTTTCATTGTAATTCTATTATGTACATTGCACAATTCAACGATTCGATTTGTTTAGCTTTGGAAATTTATTCCTTCAGTCTTTCTGTTCGGGTTTTTACTGACTGTATGGAATTCGCTAGTAATGTTCAATTTGAATTAGTTAATATTAGATTGCCCTGTGTACGTCGGGCCTGCGTTGGTGCTATTATTTTGTGTTTTACCAATTGACACAGGTTAACTTTTATTTTCAGATATAAATAGTGAGAACTGGTAGATTTTAAGTCTGCTGGACGCTTTAGATGACGGTAGATGCCTTCATTCATTATTATATTTAAAGAGGAACACATTTTAGGGAGACTTGTCTGGAAGCTTTTGGCTATTTATTTTTCGTATTGTGCTGAATGTTCGTTCGTGGACGCACTGTTAGAGCTGCCATTTCTGGGCACGCGTTTGTTCCGGAAGAGTTGCTAAATTATTTAGCCTTCCCGGCGCGCGGGAACTGTCTTATTACTGTCACGCTATTGTTTTCATTCACTTAGAGAGCAACTTGACATTTATTCGGGGAATCCAGACGTGAAAACGCAACAGGACCGGAATATTCCTGAAACAGACAATGGCCGTGCAGAGAACTTTGAAGTAATCGGCGATAAGGTCTAAATGGGTTCTTGATTTCTAGGTGGCAATTAAACTGGAAATTAGGGACGATTTTCAAGAATTCAATCTAACTTTTTTTTTTACAATACAGAATGCTGCTTCATCGTTATTAATCACTGATTATTTTTAAGTTAGCGCCAGTAATCTCACTCAAGTTTCATGTGTCTGGAGCAAGTTTCAAGATCTGATTCTATGTCGCGACATTAATCATTTTCCTTGTTAATTTTAATATTATTCAACTTTAAGATTTTCGCAAGATCGCTTCACATTGAGAACTCTTTTGATTCAAGAGGCTTGCTGAACAAAAGCAGGAGCTGCAGGAGAAAAAAATTAGACTTCAAGCCACAATTTGTTTTCGAAATCGTACATCTGTGAGAGTACATTCAGTGCAGCTGATGCGCAGCCTACTGAATTATCATGCGCTGTGCACACATTTTTTAACACAGCCTGTGACACACAATGAAACTTCGTATTATTTATGCACCACCTACCATCACTGATGAAATGCAACAAAAATGATATAATTTGTAATTAATTTCCAGTTTGTCGACCTTAGCAAATTTCACAAGTTTAGTTGAAGATCGTACACCCACAGTAATAAAAAAACAGTATAATTCAGTGAAGTGAAGTGTTACTGTATGCAGTCGTTCAACTTCATTGTTACACACATCAAGCCGATAATTTATCGCAGCTAAATGCATAGTGTTTCATGTTGGGTTTCATATGACCTAAGATAAGCGACTATGCCCATGTGATGCATGCTCGTTTGTTTCGCACACTCGATGCTTTGTAATGATCTAAACGTTTTAATTCCGCTAAGAAAATGTATAACATTATAGGTTGGAATAAAATACTTCATTGCTGGAGTAATGTTGAAACAAAATAAATCTCCGCTTAACATATTTGTTGCGCTTAAGCCAATTTGTTGGTCTTATTATTCGAATCCTTCGATTATTTTTAAATGGTGAATTGAAAAAGTTGTGTCTTTATTCAAACGTTGAATTAATACTTGCAAAACTTCAGAAACATTTTTTAAAGAAAACGAAAAGAATTTATAATTAAACCTTGTGTTCAACATTAATATCATTTATGAATCAATTATACATAATTTATATTGAACACGTCAAACGTTTGTAATTCAGTGGCCAATAAGGACAATATATATGCATTTCAATTCTGAAGTACATTATAAAAACAATAGATAACAGTGACACTTGAGGACAACAAAGTTCAGGTCTCCTAATAACTAAGACGGCGACGACGGCCGTCCCCCGAGTCAGAATTGGCACATCTGTTGGCAAAATGGAGTGTGACGCAAAGAAGCGTCTGGCATGCTGTGATGAGACCCGCTGCAACTTAAAAAACTATTTACTTTAGGATAAGAGTGAAATTTTTTTATCAGAACGCAGGTGATGGTCATAAACTTAGAAGTCGTAAATTGTCAGTGATAATCAGAGTTTGGGGTGAGAGCCGGAGTGGATCAGTTCCCGAGTGGATCAGAGCTGGAGTGGATCAGTTCCGGAGTGGATCAGTTCCGGAGTGGATCAGTTCCGGAGTGGATCAGTTCCGGAGTGGATCAGTTCCGGAGTGGATCAGTTCCGCAGTGGATCAGTTCCGGAGTGGATCAGTTCCGCAGTGGATCAGAGCCGGAGTGGATCAGTTCCAATACTGATTTGAGAGCTTGTAAAAGACGGCGAACCAATTTGATGAATTGAGAGTTTTGTTTACGAATTCAGAATTGAATACGGTCGCATTAACATCGTCAGAGATAATACAAGAAATAACATGATTTCTAAATTCTTGAATGGAAGTTGCACGAATGCATGAAGATACGTAGCTCACTAATAAACGAACTGAAATTGGCTCTGCGAAGGTCACTTTACGGAGAAAAACACAGTTTCTTGATTGAATTATCACTTGACTCGGCGCCTTGCATCATCTATGCAGATTAAGCACTTTAAGAAGAGTGTTTGGCGTTTAAAAGATAAAAAGATCTGATTGAAGTATCCAACTATTATGGACGGACCTAAAAACTAAATCTAATCTTATACTTAAATTTGGCACTTTATACAACACTGCACAAGCAGATCACATCTAAAAATATACACAACTTGTAGGAAGAAAGCCATCGCGTGATGACATGGATACAAACATATACATACAAACCAAGAGAGAGAACGTTAGGCAGCCTCGTGAATTTGACGCTTAGGCATACCAAAACTCGAGTGCACATCATTAAATTGTAAGCCCACGAAACCGTAGTTAATTTCACTGCGGGAAGGAGCTTTCCAATAACAACTTATGGACTGACATTTAATGTCATGAATGAAAATTGTGTAAAAATATCGGATAATGTTCTTCCTAATGTAATAACAATGATTTTATTTATTTTATCACAAATTGTTTCCTCGAAAGGGCTCGGTTTAAATTATTCTCTATTTTTGAATCTGCCGCAGTAGATTAAATTATTTCAAAATGAATTGGAGTAGAACTACCGTATCTCTCGGTCTCCATTGTACCTCTTCGCTGGTGAAGTTGCGAGATCACAACCTTCTCCCTCTAGACAACGACGTGAAGAATATTTACACAACAAACATAACAATAATTCACAAAGCTGTCGACATGACATGAGTATCAACAGAAATAATTAATAAAGTAATAATGCACATGCAAACGGGAATCAATTGACATGATCTTCAACTTGAAAATTCCTCGTTCGCCCATTAATTCTAAGTTGAATGTACAGATAATTACAATCGCACCTCAACGAGTCATTTGGCTATAGAAAAATCACAATACTATTTTGGTTGGGATTTATGATAACTAACTATAAGATACTTCATGCTGTACACTCACTTTTATGGCTTTCACACATTTTTTCGTAAAATTATTAATCAAGTTCTCTTTCATATCCTCAACTCGCTTTCAGATCCCGACGAAGCTCCTGTGAGAATGCCAGACGTCCCTTGACGCTGGCCCAGCGCGCGGGAATGATGAGGTGTTGAGGTCACGGAATTTTGTGCAGCTAAGGAAGGAGCTGGACCTCTGTTACCTGGGGTCATTAGAGGGGATATGGAAGGAGATCGTGTGGCGAGAGGTGATAATGAGGGGCTAAATGATGGAGACATGGCGGGGGACGTAAAAGAGGCCTCATGACTTATTGGGGAGCGGGGAAGAGATGGCATCGACATCTGGGCTCGTATGGTGCTCAGGGCAACCGGGGCAATGGAGCGAGGGGCGACGCTCGTTAGCAGCGGTGGAGGGATGGTCTTCACTTGAGGGTTGAGAGTTTTTTTCTGAGGTTCCCGAGAATAATTTGGCGCTGAATCGTCTTTCAATCGGGCGATTTCAGAAAACACATGAGCGAGAGGCTGGTATTGAGGGCCCCAGTCGAGAAGATAGTCCCAGTTGTAAGAGCCTTGCAGTTCTTCTTCACTGTGAACAATTGAACTCAAAGAGCCGGTCATTGAAGGCTGACTTTCGTCCCCTCCAAAACCAAATGCTCGTGTGCCATCCATGATAGAACTATCTTCTTCTGATGGCACGTCATTTAGTTTCGAATAGATCAGGTTATTGATGTCTACCTCACCGGATTCAGTTGCACCTTCTTCGTCAAACATGTGCATGCTGCCAATTGAATGCGTGAGATCTTGTGACCCTTTCGTGGATTCAGTTTTAGTGGTATCGATTCCTAGGCGGGCAAGGTATTCCTGAGTATTGTGGACGGAAACATCACTCATATTATCGTCATCATGAATTCCTGAATCGGGTAGGCCAAGTCTCTCTCTGAGTTTTTGCTCCTTTATAAGAGGTCCTTCGTTGATCATTCTAATTTCTTCGTCCTCGACGTCTTCGTTATCGTCTGCACTTCCGCGTCCACTACTTGCGCTTTGACTTTGCTCGCTCATCTCCGATGTTGTGTTTCCGTGATGAGTTCGATCGCTGTGGTGATTGTATGGCAGATCATTGTAGCTCGTCGGATACTGTGACAAGTCTGGGGCGGAAGTCGGCGGTGGGTGACGGATATCGATGGTGTCAAAAGACGTGTCAAACTGATCAGGAATAACTGGCTTCCTGACGAGTAGATTACGACGGTACAGAAATAAGAACGCAGCGCCGAAAACTAAAACCAAAAGAATAAGAGCGATCAATAAGCCAATTGCCCACGTTGCCAGACCTCCGCCCTCGGTGTTGCCTCCTGTCAACGAGGTGCTGTTGCCCCAAGAACTGTTGTGATTTCCAATTGATATTTCAGCTGTGGCCAGTCCTCTCAGAGATTTAGGTTTACCTGAATTGGCAAGAAGTTCAAGTCTAATGCCTTCTTCTCTGCCAGGAGGTCTTTTGACAATAATCTCTCCAGTGGTGCGGTTTATCTTGAAAACTCTAGAAGGCGTGGTAAGAGAATAAAATACTTGGCCATCTGACCCTTTATCCTTATCAGTTGCTTCTACTTTACCAACAACATTACCGTTTTGGGCATCAAACGGCATTGAAAAATAATATATTCTTTCCGTGAACACAGGCGCATACTCGTCGCTACTCTTGACATTGACTTTTACATTGACGGTGGTAAACTTGCCTCCTGCATCAAACGCTCGGATCGAGAAATAATAATCATCACGAACTTCAAAGTCAAATACAACCTCCGTCGTAACAACACCAGTTGCAGGATCAATGCTGAATTTATTTCTGTCTTCACCCGAGGGGATGGAGTAGTTGAGAGTTCCATAAGGTCCCTTGTCCGCATCGTTGGCAATGGCAGTGAACACAGTTGTACCTACGGGGGAATTTTCCACGACGAATTCATAGTAAGTTGGAGCTGGAAAGCTTGGGGCGTTATCATTCTCGTCCTTGAGGCCAATGTATACTGTAGTTAGAGCAGAGAGGGAGTGATGACGCTGACCATCCGAAGCTCGTATGATCAGACGGTGCTCAGGAACCGTGTCGTAATCCAGCTCCTCGCGCAGGGTAATGATGCCTGATTCAGAGTCGAGGGCGAAAATTTGATCGTCATTCCCGGAGGTGATGTCATAAGTAATGCGAGCATTATCGCCAGAATCATCATCCACAGCCGATACTTGTAAAATTATTGACCCGATGTCCAAGGCTTCGCTAACGTTTACAAAATATTCTGACTGATTGAAAACGGGCACGTGGTCATTTACATCCAAAACTTCGATGACAACTTCGGAGGTCGCATTTTTCGAGGGAGAACCTCTGTCGGAGGCGAGAGCAACAAGGGTGTATTGGGATTGCTTCTCTCTGTCCAATTCCTTAAGGAGGATAATCTCGCCTGTAGACGAGGCTATTTGAAAAGTGTGATGATCGTTGCCAGAGACGATAGAGTAGACGATGTTGCGGTTGTTCCTCGACTCGTCCATGTCGGACGCTGAAACTCTCGCGACTGCCTGGCCTCTCGACGCGTCTTCCCGCACCCGGGCTCTGTAACAATAAACTGAGCTGTTTTCGACGTCCTATACATTTATCATGTACAAATACATGCAAAGAAATAATATTTGAATCCAGGCAAGGAAAATACGCTTCCTCATTGGGATTGTAATTCCAAATTCAAAAGTTGCAGTTAAAAAATAATCGAATCTTCTCAATGATTGTTAAATTTCAGAAAAAGCAGCAATAATTTACGATTAACTGAAAGTTTGCACTCGCTTGAATAATTGGATGCAAGATACACATGATAAGTTGGCTCAGATCTGATAAACCTTATATCCAGCACAAAAGTAGGAGTAAGGACAGAGATTTCCGATGGTGAGTGCAATCTCAATTGTTCTAAATCAGTCACCCTTACGTGTAAGTTTCACTGGAAAATTTCGGTGGATGGTTGTTGACGTCGGTGATCTGTACAGTGATGGCAGCCACGGATGCCATGGAAGGCTTGCCCTTGTCCCTGGCTGTCACCACGAGCTGGATGACAGGCTGGCGAGGGTTGTAGTGGTGCGACGTGTTGCTGTAAACGATCCCTGTAGTGCGATGGATGTAAAACCCTTGCTCGGTGCCTGCCGCCAGGCTGTACTGAACCTCAGCATTCACACCTTCATCAGCATCCGTCGTGTTCACCTGCAAACCAAAGTAGCGTAGAATAAAAAAGTAATTTCCAACTCACCGGTTGATTATAATAATGCAAACACAAAGTGATTATGTATCAATTATTTCATTTTTCTTCCAGAGCGAAAGTAAATAATTGTGGAGTCATTTGATTTGAAAGTAAAATTCCTGAAAAATAGCAAGCGTCGAACACAAGTAAAAGCAACGTAGGAGCAAGTTTGACACAAACCCTGATAACGGAGGTGCCGGGTGCGGAGAGCTCGGGCAGCGAGACCTGATATGCCTGCTGGGAGAACACGGGCGGGTTGTCGTTCTCGTCGAGCACCTCGACCGTGATTTTGGTGCGCGCCACGTGGGCCGTGTCCGACGCCTCGACCTGCGGCACGACGAGACATCAAAGTTGGAATTCAATCGAATAAGCTGGCGAATTAGCTTGGCATCTTCTTTATTGCGAATTAGCTTGGAATTCAATCGAGAAGCGTTTTGAACTGTATTAGATTATTTTCCGAGCCACCATTACAGTGATATGCAACGTGGGTTGAGCGCTGACATGTAGAACAGCCAATTCTATTGAATCAGCAGCGATTGTTTTTTACATCATAAATTATGGCATAAAAATGAAGTTTTGTTATTATAAAAGCTTATGAGGCGCCAATAATTTGTCAAGATTGCATCAAGAAAAAGGTATTATATAGAGCAGTCATACCTCTATAGTATACTGCAGTGTTCCTTCATGATCCAGCGGCGCGGCAAGGGTTATCTTGCCGCTGAATTTGTCGATGGTGAACATGTTGAGAGGATTGCCCCCAGCTGCAAAGTTGTACGTGATGGCGGGGTTCGTGTCCACGTCATTAGCTGTAATTGTGGTGATGATGGTGCCAACTTCAGCTCCTGAGGAAAAATCATAATCAATAAATTTTAATATATAAATCTATTATATAAATTTTAAATAATTTTAAACACAACAAATCCCAAAATCTACCCCCATGTACTTGTGAAGTAATTTCATTTCAAATAAGTTTCGTTTGTGAGACTTAACTGGCCATGTTTCATTGATTATTTGTTGTCATGAATAATCGCAATTCGTGCAAATTATTGATCGGTAATGAATAATTATTGTTTCCATGATCTGTTTCGAATAGTCAATGAACATTTAAAACGAAGACGATGAGCAATCACTCCATAAATCGAGAATTCAACATTAATCGATAATTCAAAGCAAAGCAATAGGAAAAGAGGTTCTTTGGATGCTTTTTGTTAACCAGAGTTCTAAGAGGTCCAATAAAATGAAACTATAAGCACGTTGCCAACCTTCAGACACTTGGACGAGCGAGTGTGGAGGGAACGTAGGCTGGTTGTCGTTGACATCAACGATGTTGATGCGCAGAGTGCAGGTGCCGGTCATCTCTGGAGCGCCTTCGTCCGTAGCTATGATGGTCAGTCGATAAGTTTCCCTTATTTCGCGGTCCAAAACAATGTTGGTCTTGACAATTCCCGAAAATGGAGGGTCGATAACGAAGGCGTCGTCATGATTGCCATCAACAATATAATAAACTATGTTGGCATTAGGTCCAGTATCGTCGTCTGTTGCCGAAACTTGTATGACGTAAGTCCCTTTGTTGTTTCCTTCCCAGACCGACGATACGTATTCGTCTTGAGTAAATCGTGGTGAATTATCGTTCATATCGATAATGATGACGCGCACGTTTGTGTAAGCATACAAAGGAGCCTCTCCGTTCGACTGCGCAACAATGACGAGATCAATTTCCGACACCAACTCATAGTCAAATAGGTTTGAGTTTTTGACGCGTATCAACCCAGTGTTGCTGTCCATTTCAAAGAAGTCATCTTCGTTTCCGGACGCGAAACTATAGCTTATTCTCTCTCTCTTGTCATCTGAACGTAGAGCTGTTACTTGCAAAACTTCTTCATTTGTAGCCGAGTTTTCTGGCAAATGTACAGTGTAAGAAGTGTTCTGAAACATCAATGTGGTGGGGTTACGCTCCCCGACTTGAATTTCGATCAGTCCCACGGACGACATGGGAGGAGAGCCTCGATCTCTGGCAACGACTTCCACGTGAAAAAGTTTCATGGTTTCTAGCCGCAACGGGCTCGTGGCAGTTAAAATTCCAGTTTCCGAGTTGATCCGAAATTTGCTGTTACTTGGCTTGTTAGTCAGGCTGTAAAAACAACGAAAACAAGTTACCTATCATAACTGTTATGTTTATAAAAACCACTGAAAAAGTTTCGATGGAAAGAGGCTTAGGTTTACCATTATTGATTGTTAAAGGTTTTGATGAAGATTTTAGATGATGAATACATGCCGGATTAAAATGGCATTTATAGATTAATGATTTGTCTGATTTCATAGATATTTCGGTCAGGATATGGAGTTCAATTAGCACGAGTTGTAGATTTACATTTACATTTAGAGTGTAATATTTTCGACAAATTTAAGCAGAAATTACCCAAAAAAGGATTTGTATTTAAACTGCGAGTCATCAGAACAAATCCAGGACTGAAAGTATGGGACTTGAATTATTATCTCAACTTTGAAAAAATAAAAGTTGACTTTCTCGAAAGATGTTCAGTAATTTTTTTAGAATTTTCGAAGTCTCTTTGTTAAATTGAATTTCGCAGAACAGTTGTTGCAGTGTAGCCGTGTTGAAACCTCCAACTAACATATTTTAGAAAGGATTGGTCATCTAACCCTTTATCTGAACTGATATCTCAGCTATTCCTATCTAAAGGCATAATGTGTGAAAATTACCATTATTTTTGCTCTCACTTTTTACTTTGACTTTGAGTTTTGCTTACAGTGCGCTCCATAAGTATTAGTATGCACGGTACAAAATGCGCTAATTGTATATAAAATAAGAAAATTTCTATTGGTAGGTCAGAGATTAGGACTTTCCTCGCAGTACTAAATAGCCGTGAAAAATCACAACTTATGAGCAGGAAGCATGAAAAAAAAACACTATCCATTTACCACATTATCACGCAGGCCTAACATTATTTTATGAACCTAATTCAAACAATCTGTAGAAGGTTCACACTACCTGTAAACAATGTCAGAGTTGAGGCCCTCGTCTCTGTCGGTAGCCACGACTCTGACGAGCTCCTGCCCTGGCTGGCTGTACACAGGAACTGTTACCAGGTACGGGTACTCGGCAAACTGAGGGCGGTTGTCGTTGGCATCGTTGATCCTGATCTGCACCTGCGCTGTTTCAGAGCGCGTATCGTACTGGCCGCCGTCGGTGGCCCGCACTTCGAAGTTGTAGCGGTCTTGCTTCTCTCGGTCCAAAATTCTACAAGGAAAACACAATTACAGCGTTGTTAAATTCAGAACGAAATTTGTTGGCAATTTAAAATGAAATATGTATTTGTCGTGTAACAAATCACGTAAATTGAATAATTCTCTTCGTCTATAATCGCGTATATACGACAATTTGAATCGATAGTTGGCTCTATACTGAATCAACTTTCTAGCTTCACAGCGTTGATAAGTGTCGGCAACTCAATAATAAAAATAACAGAACCAAACTTTTTCCCGCTGCCAGAATCGCTTAAAAAGTTTCGACAGAATAAATAAAAACAAACGAAAATGTAAATCTGTTGTCAACAGGATTGATTAAACTTCAAGGTAGCTCAATAAATTGAAATGCAAAAAATTTGAAATCGAAATATTTTTTACTTGCGCACATCATTGTTACTAAGAATAAGAACTTCGATCGACGTACCCTACGGTTGAAATAACCCCAGTTTCATTGTCGATCTTGAAGAGCCACTGAGTTTCATTGCTCAGCGAATAAGTGATCCTCGAGTTTTCCCCGTGATCGCGATCAGTGGCTTGCACAGTCAAGACTGATGATCCAGGAGGAGTGTCTTCGGACAAAGATGCTGTGTAGCGAGTCTGAGTGAACTTGGGATCGTTATCGTTCTGATCTTCAACGGTGACGGTGATGTTACATGTGCCAACACGCGACGGCTTACCTCGGTCTCTTGCAGTGATCGATAGAGAGTACTTTGATTTGGCTTCTCTGTCCAGTGGCCGAGCTGACAGTTGACCGGAATAGGTATCAATGTTAAATTTGTTCCCGATATCTTCTCCGGTTAGTGAATAGGTAACTTCTCCATTCAAACCCGAGTCTTTGTCTGTTGCCAAAAGAGTGTGTATAACTGAAAGATCGGTGTTTTCAGGAACTCTTAGTGGATAACAAGAATCTCGAAACTCAGGTGCGTGATCATTGACGTCAGAGAGAGACACAAGAACGGATGCAGTGTCATACTGAGCAGGAAAAGAACCATCCCGGACGTAAACGGTTAGTGAATATTGCTCCTTCTCTTCGCGGTCTAGAGTAGCTACGGTGTGGATCTCTCCAGTTCCAGGATTGATTCTGAACTTGTTGTCACCAATGCCCGCAGGTATGATATACGTCAGGTTACTGTTCGAACCTGAGTCCTGGTCAGACGCTGTAACTCTTGTAACAAACGTCCCAGGAACGGATCCCTCTGACACGTTAGCTCGGTGTAGCGGCATTGAAAATTTTGGAGCATTATCGTTGACATCTTCTACGTGGATTTCAACATTCTGAGAAGATGACCTTTGCGGTTTTCCATGATCAAAAGCAGTGATGTTCAGATTATAGATGGTTGTCTGTTCTCTATCAAGAGGTTTGACAACACTCAGAACTCCAGTATCGTAATCGAGCGAAAATTTTCCTTCGTCGTTACCGCTGCTGATAATGTAAGTCACTTTTCCGTTGTCGCCGGAGTCGTCATCCGTGGCGATGACGTGTAACATTGGGTAGCCGGTGGGCTCATCTTCCATTATGTCTATACGATTGCTTGAGACAAACTTTGGTGCATTGTCATTATAATCTTCAATTAACAGTTTGGCTGTCACTGACGAACGAAGCCTTAACTCTTCGTCTCTTGGTTGATCGCTGGCAGTGACCACAAGAGTAAACTCGCGCTGTTCCTCGAAGTCCAGAGGGCCCATGAGAGAGAGCACTCCAGTGACCGAGTCCAACTTGAACACTTTCTTAGGAGCTTGCTGAGCCAAAGAGTATTCGACGCGACCATTGTCACCAGAATCTAGATCAGTAGCGCTGAAATTCCAAACTGGACTTCCAAGTGCTAAATTTTCACTTATCGAAAAGATAATAGGATCCTCCGGGAAAATTGGGATTTCATCGTTACCATCTTCCACTTCTACCTTTACTTTCATTATGGACTCTTGTGGGTTAGGTGCTGACGAATCCACAGCCTCTATTTGCAGTTGGTATTCGGGAGTTCTCTCATAATCGACCTCCCGAACGGTGAAAATCTGGCCAGATAGTCTGTCGATGTCAAAAACATTGTTAGTGTTGCCAGACGCGATAGAGTAAGTTACATCTTCCTTGCCAGTAGTTGCTTGGTCCATAGATAACAAGGAACCTAATTTTTCTCCTATGGGTATTCCTTCTTTTATTCTGAATGTTAAAGAAGATGCCGAAAACGTGGGCCGGTTATCATTGACGTCTAACACGTCTACTTGTATCAACTTGGTGAGGTGTTTAGGGACTTCCCCCTGATCACTCGCTTTCACCACCAAGCTGTACCGACTCCTCACTTCGTGATCCAACACCTGCACATAAAAATTAATATCATATCATCGCAAACTAATAGTATCAATTATAACTAGAGTAAAATTTTATCAGAAAGCGGGGTTAAAATTATTCCATTCTTTACAGCTTGCATACATTCAACATATTATTTTGCTTCAATACTCTATATTATAATCCATTATACATCATATTATTTGAACCTAAGAACTTCAATACTTTATCGTACTTTGAGATTTTAAAAGAATATTGCCTCAGTAGGAAGAATATGAAGGTTAACGCTGAAACTTCACGTTATATGAACAGTTCAATGAATCAGGTTCACAACAGCCTGCATAATACCTTAGCAGTTCTGATGACCCCGGTGCTGGGGTTAATGCTGAAGGCGAGGTGGTCGTCGGAGTCGTCAGTAGGCAGGAACGAGTAGGTTATGGATGCATTGTTGCCTTCATCCTTGTCGGTTGCTCGGACCTGCATCCGAATACGCTTCATTAAGCATATCTTCAATTAGATGTAGGTACAAGTCAGAAATTAATAATGACAATATCAAATGGTCCTTCAAATAAACGCAAATGAGCGTGAACGCTGAATCAAACCATTCTGATAGGCATCTGGAGCTTCGTTATTAACACATCACTAGGTTTGCCGGTCAAGATACCAGACGGATCTAGGTTTTGATATGTTTATATATATATATATATATTTAGATTTTTATACGAATTTAGAGGAAGAATATGGCGGTCGTGGGTCGGCTTGCCTGCAAGACTTCAGTGCCGGCAGGCTGGTCTTCTCTGACGCTGATGGAAGCTTGCTGGGGCTCCACAAAAGTAGGCAAGTTGTCGTTAACGTCGGTGACGAGGACGCGGACTGTGGCCTGCGAGTGTTTCGGGGGCACGCCGAGATCGCGGACCTTAACAATCACTTCGTACACAGCCTTGACTTCTCGGTCCAAAGAGCCAACAGTGCGGATTTCTCCTGGAAAAATTAAAAGGAGATTATGATACTTCAAGAAAATTTTTAATTTTTTATTGGGCCGAAAAGCCAGCACATAATGCTTTTGTATAAAGCGTATATCAGTCAATTCAGCATCCTTCACTAAAGTTTCTGCTTGATATCAGAAACGATATGAAAATGAGGGAAGAAACGAGGACAGAATTATTCGGTATTTCCTCATTTACAAAAGAATAGTGGCCAAAAATTTTGGCTACTACTTGGTAACTGTTTCTCAGTCTCAGTAAACATTACCAAAAGTTTCGCATCATAAATTACATTTAAAAATCGCCAACAACTCAATTGAAAACATTGTCGATAATCCACACTACCGTAGCTCAAGCAATACCGTTACCAAATCTCATAAAAGATTGACATTAAATATGCTTTCAGCGAGAACTAATTGTCAATGCTAACCGCAGTGAAAAAAATGATGTCCAGGACCAAAACCACGACATGGCCAACGCGAGCTCGAATGGTCAGAAAGAAGCTCTCCATCAAGAATCCTACACGATATACTGGGTACTTTAAAGTTAACGACCTCATTTAGTACAAATCATCCTCAGAATGAGGTTAATGTGCGAGAATTGATGCTAATGAGCTTCAATAAGGCAGAATGCGTTCGAAGGCAGTCATAATCACAAGACAGATATATACTTTCTGCAAATTCCCCATTGTCGAAGGAATTTATCGCATAAGAACAAAAGAGAAGAAACCATTTTTCAACTAAATATTCTAGTGCAACAGGTAATATCATTCAATTCATATGTTATGATAACTGTTTATTTCTACACGTCCTGCTTGAATAAGATGGGAAATAGCATTAATTTGCGGCATCAATTTATTAGGAAGGTTCAAAATAATTAAGATATTATTCTTTCGCACATAGTTTGCTGATCATTTCTGGTATTCGTTTTACGAATTTTCGTACGAAAATAAATTGTTAAACTAGTAAATAAACAATTTTTTCCTACAGGCCTGTCGCAATGTAACTTATTAAGTGAAAAATTAATAAACAGCATAAATAATATTTTAAAGAATGTACGAGTTTATGCATTTATTCAAACCAGAATCCACGATACTGGCTTTGTCGGGACTAAATCATTATCAAGAATTTTGTTTTAGAGGCGGAACCATGAGGCAGCCCAAACTGGGATATTAAAGGTTAAAATTTTGATGCTATTAAATTTAAAAATACTCAAGATTTATTAAAAGGAGTAAGTATGAAAAAATGTATGGAAAATTTCTTAAATGGTTTAATTGGATGTCAGTTGTTAAATACGGATTAGTAAAAATGTTCTTTTAATTAACACGATTTTGGTTCGGGATTTCTCTGATGGCAGGAAGGATGATTTCAAAGGGTATTATATAGTTCCAGAGCAACGCCATATAGTAATCTTTTAGGTGCTTCAGCATTGATAGATTATCTTCCGAATTTCATGAGAAACTTCATTATATTGTTGAGCAGAAGAGTTCTACCTACGTCAGCTGTTGACGATTCTATATGCACACTGACATTTGATAGGAATATGTTATCTATATAGAAAAGAAATATTATAAAATTTTCAGTAGAAAAATTTACATGGAGCGAAAGTTTCGCCTGCCGCCAGTAAGATGAGGCGGCGAACTGTGTAAGTGCGCAGCAACATAGAAAAAGGCGACTTTAACGCTCTTGCACCTAATAAAAACGTAGGTACTACTTCTCGAAAACTATAAAAAAGAAATTTACGGTTTGCCTGACTATTGGCAGAACATTTTTAATGGCTGGCTATTACTGCCATAGCCGCAGATATATGCGGCAACGCCGGCACGCAGGGCAAGGCCTCCAGCAGCGCCTCCTTCCACGAGTAATAAATGTGCTTTTTTCCATCAACTTCATGTAAAGTAACCCAAATTGTGCTTGAGTAAAAATGACTGAATAGAGCGTGAAAGTTAAAGACAAAATAATGTGATGGACACACTGGCGTAGTCGAACATGCAATGGGATAAATGACGTAGAAGGAAAATTAAAAACAAAGAAGAAGATATGTGAAACGCTCGTCTACGACTGACGTTGCTCCTTTCTGCATGCAAGCAAAATGGAATGCAGTTCAGTTGAAAAGTTTTATGCACATTTACTCCGAACAATCGTTTATGTATAAATTCATACAAATTGTGGAAATTGTTTTTTTGTAAGTTCCCACAAAGTGTAAATTCTTTATGTGTAAGTTCCCACAAATTGTGTAAGTTCCCACAAATTGTGTAAGTTGTTTATGTGTAAGTTCCCACAAATTGTGTAAGTTCCCACAAATTGTGTAAGTTCCCACAAAGTGTAAATTGTTTATGTGTAACTTCTCACAAATTGTGTAAGTTATTTATGTGTAAGTTCCCAAAAAATTGTGTAAGTTCCCACAAATTGTGTAAGTTGTTTACGCATAAATTCTCACAAAACCTCCATACAAGACAAGTCACGTCCATTAACTTTCCTTACGACACGGAGAAGTAGCGTATCTGTGATACAACTGATTACAATTATGTTACGAACTCGTGGTGCTGTTAGTCTCTGCTTCAGGCGTATTTTCTTCGCGGCTAGTCTAGTTATTGAGAAGCAGGTTTCATTGACCAGATAATTTGTTTTATTGACAATTTTCTTATTAGTTTTTTCAATATATCGAACAATATTTTTCGTTTGCACTGGTAAATTGAAAACCAGGGTACCGATGGACAATTTTATTTCGTTTACGACGTTTCGAATGTACTAGTCATTCATTATCAAGTAACAAGACGCATTGAGTGATGAAATTTGGATCGATCAAAAAAAAATAGTTCGATATATTGGAGAAAACTAATAAAAAAATTGTCAATAAAACAAATTCTCTGGTCATCAATGAAACCTTCTGAGAGGAACAAATTCTGCCAACCTATACTAATTATTGAGAAGCGGCCACCGTTTAACGACCAGGATTAAAAATATGGTAAATATTTCGTTGTTATCTAATCTTTACCAAGCAAGCTTTCAAAAATTTAGAAAGTAAAGTTAAAATCAACAAAAAATCTGGAAGTATCACGCGATTTTAATTCTTCATCAAACTTGAACAAGGTACAAATACAGCGATTTCTTAAAAGTACAGACGTAAATCAAATCGATTAACAGAGGCAAGAAGTGCAAGAAATCCTGGTCGTCTCCTTAGCCCTATTTGAGCTCATGAAAGTCTGAGCGTCTCGTAGCAATGGCTGGTGTAATCAGCAGCTCTTAGGCCGCAGGTAAACCGCATAATGGCCGTCCAATTAGAAACTCAAGAGCGTGAGATGGATTCACAAGCATCATTATTGTTTCCCGTGTACAGAGATACATGAACAAGCTCATGGCACGTATTTCATAACGAATCTATCAAATACTCTATCTTTAAGATGCAACGGACGAGCTTCAAGACAGGTCTCTGAAGTTATAAAGCACTAACTCGATTAGTATTAGAATGATTGCTTGCTACCAGTCCAGCTAAGCTTCTGTGTCAGTCATAATGAAGCACTGTCACTGCTCGTACGAATGATAGCGCAAGACATGTATACTATGTAGTTACATTGTGTAGCGTCACTGCTTGCACGAATCACATTGAAAGCCATTTATGGCAACATTATATCTCTCTACACGCACAAATAACATCACAACCTATTTATAATCTACATAATAAATCGAAAATGCAAGCACGAATGATGTTGAAAGCCATGTATATGTTTTCTCGTGTGTAGGACGATTTTGGCTACCGTTTGGACTTTATATGTTTGCCGTGCAACACAATTAAGGGGGACATATTAAACATTTATAAATATGTTAAAAGTGAATTTTTCTCTTCCATTGACGTTGAATCATCATTCATTTTTAAATTTATACTTCAATAAATACTAATTTATTAAATTGTGTTCATCATTTAGAATATCCCTGTGCATTGCTGGTCGCTATTTGGTGTCGAGTACAGACCATGCAAGTGGACACCAATTACAGACTGTAATTGGGGTAACTTGCAAATTTTTCCAGCAAAAAATGCGTACATTGAAAATTACAAGTTAAAATAGAAGAGATTTTCTTTCATAACGAAGCATTTATGCATGGATCACTCACCCGTCTTAGGGTCGATGGCGAATGAAGGATGCGAAGGCTCAATTGAAAATCGCATAGATGCATTTGCGCCCAAATCTCCGTCCTCGGCCGATACTGAACTAACGACTGTGCCTTCGGGGAGATTTTCTTCGACCGTGAACTCATAAACCTGTGAAGAAATGAAATATATTTTGAAGATTAATAGTTCGTTATCACACATAGACCGTATGCTTGTAATTTGGAACGGATCATTGACAGCAAAGATTATTGCATTATACGATTTATTTATTTATTCGGCAAAGATTATTGCCTACATTGAATACGGAATAAAGGAAGATAATGATTAATAATAATGTACAAGGCTGTCAAACTCACCACAAAATTCCAGTGAAAGAAGATTTTAATTAAATTCAATAAACAAGTTTTTCAAAATTTCCCCATCCCGTGAAACGTACAATCCTAATGTAATACTCACCTTAGATACAAATTATCCGAGTAGCATCATATTTTATTGCCAATCCTTATATTGGAATCCTTTTTTGAGCATCTAATTTTTTCCGCATTTCAGCACGAATACTACAATTCCCAAACAATGTTTAATATTTCATTAATATTCACAAGGACAAAGGAATCCTTGTGTTGAAATGAATGCAGAGAGAAGTCAATTTTAAACAAATGCACAGATCCTGCGAAGATACAGTTCGCTCTATTGTACGCTCGAAAAAAGAGTATACGCTCTATTGTACGCTCGAATGGACAGGTCAGGCAACACACCTGCTGGTGGACAGGTCAGGCAACACACCTGCTGGTGGACAGGTCAGGCAACACACCTGCTTGGTGAAGGTAGGTGTGTTGTCGTTGGCATCAAGCACGGTGATGGCCACGGTAGTGGAGGCCGTGGACTTTGGTGTGCCATTGTCCGTGGCCACGACAGTTACGACGTACGCGTCACGCGTCTCGCGGTCCAGCACCTACACACACCAGCGCAATGAGCATCGCAGTGAGGAATAATGCAACCAATATTTATTAGAGCTAAACTCTTCGAAGTTCAACCTTTTAGTCTTTCCATCTTCTTTAAATACTTTGAGAACTACCATAATGAAAATCAACATGATAATGTCACAGAATAATTAATTTTTGATCAATTCTTCATTGAAGATGCATTTGGTAGTAGAGGCATTCGATCTTACCTCTTTGAGGTAAAGAGATCCAGAGTTGGGGAATACACCGAAGACGTTCTCGAATTCTTTCTCTTTTATTGTGTAGGTGAGACGAGCGTTATTGCCGGTATCTTTATCAGTAGCCGTCACTTGGAAAAACTGCGAGTTGGCGGGCAAAGACTCAATGATGCTGATGGAGTACGAGGCCCTCTCAAAGACGGGAGGGTTGTCGTTGACGTCTTGAACTTCCATGTCGACGGTGAGGTTCGAAGACAGAGGAGGTACGCCCTGGTCACTGGCACCTATCACGAGCGTGAACCGATGTACGGCCTCGTAGTCCAGCTTTTCAACCAGCGTCAAAATGCCAAGCTGATAAAAAAAATACGGTTAAACCATACACAGTGATTTAAATAAAAGCAAACGTCTCATTCAATATGCATTTGGCTTTAGGCGGTGAGTGGACTAATGGCTAACGTGGCTTTCGTTGAACTGTCGTCAGCTCCATGCGAACATGCACGAAAATCCGATGTCCTTTTCTCCATGGATTCTGAATGTATATGCTAAAAACAGCGAAAGCAAAACTGTGCTCATGGAGTTTTAATTTACACTTCGAAACAATTGTAATTAAAAATACATAAAAATGACCGAAACTGAACAGCTGAAGGACTTTAAATGCAAAACAAGAACATTTCCGTCACACGAGAACAGAAAATTATCCGTATCTTAAAAATGTCCAATCACCTTATCTATGGCAAACATATTGGCCGGGTTCTGCAGCAGAGAATACGTGATGACGCCGTTGTCGCCAGAGTCCTGGTCGGTGGCGTGGGCCGCATAGATGGCTTCCCTCAGCGCCGTGTTCTCCGGCACCGACAACTTCACCGATTGAACATCGAACTCCGGAGCGTTGTCGTTAACATCCAAGATGCTTATGTTCACCTGCGGCACGGAACACAGGGCACTTAACCATTGTGAACGTTGTCTTTGTTCGGGTAATTCGACATATTAAGGGTTGTATCCGAATTTCAACGCTGTCAAAACTCAAAAATGTAGGTTCACGGAGAAAGCGGCATATTTCTTTCGATTTTGTGGCTCGAAATTATAAAATTTATAAAAAATAATTGTTCTACGACGTATTTTCCATAGAAACATTTATCGCTGTGATTAACATTGAATCAAATTTAAAATTCAAGGGAAAATAAAAGGAATTTAAAGTAAATATGAGAGCATGATGGAGAGTAACCTGCGTGTGGCCGTAAGTGGGCGGGGAGCCCGTGGTGGCGAGGACGTTGAGCAGCACCGAGGACTGCGCCTCGTGGTCCAAAGGACTCGCCGTCTTCAGGATGCCGGTTTGTGGGCCGATGGAAAAATAACCGTTTGGGTCCCCAGAGTAAATAGAATACCGAACACGTCCACCGCCACCTGAATCAGACAAAATAACCCAGAATTATGATAGAATGTTACTTGCTTTCGCTTAAATGGAACATTCCTCATGAGGCAATTTAAACCCAAAATAATTTTAAACACTTAACAATTTAAATTCATGTTTAATGCATGGAAAACTAACAGCGGTACCTAATAATCAACAAATTCCTGAAGATAACTCACCCCTGGCGCTGGAGGAGGCGCTCACGGTGCCGATGATGTGCGCTACGTTGACGTCCTCGCGGGCGTTGAAGGTGTAGCGCGGGCGGTCGAATATCGGAGGCTCGTGGTTGGTGTCGATCACTGAGATGGCTACCTCGGCGTGGTGCTCAGACCTGGTACAAGGTATTATTGATTATTCAGAAATGTCTCACTCATGTACAATTAGGAGAAGCTGCACTGGAATATAAAGAACCTGCTCAGGGGTATAAGAAACAATGTTATTTAATGTGTCCATGATTTGAGCGCAGTACTTGTCTCGATAGTCGACACACACTTCGCCAAGGCAGATATAATAGCACGACAGAGTGAAAACCACAATTCGATTAAGTCAAGAATGATTTTATTCATAGCTGTTAGTAGTCATGAACTTAAAAAGGTGAATAATCGTGATAATGTGAAGAGAAATCTCTTAAAACAGAAACGCAGCAATGCAAAAGAAATAGTACAGTTAACAATGATATAATAATGCCGACTAATTACAACTAACGTATATTGTAACATCAAGCAATGTAACAAAAAACGGAATTACCCAATAATTTAAGATCCACAATGGTTTCTACTAACATTTAAACTGTTGTAAAAATGAAAAGATTACCACAACTGTGACTAGCTGTCATGTTGAATAACTCTCGGTGAGTTAGTTTTGTGGCGAACTGAAAACGAGGGAATACGAAATAGATACTAATGAATATTACGAATTTTTGCATTTTGCTGGCCGCTGCTATCCAAACATCAGGCAAATTCCCCTGGAATGTTAGCTGTGGTTCATGAATTAGGATAGGCCACAGTCAAAAATATTCTTGCTGGACATTTTTAGTTTTCAAAATAAATTTTCTTTTGTATCAATAGAAAATATCAGTTTTAGCTTAAACAAACAAGTATTATTATTCGTTAGACGAAGAAAAATCAATTTTATTCACTCGTAAAATGAGAACAAAAATTAATATTCAATAATCTTGGAAATGTTAGCACGTTATTTATTGATGGACGGTAAGAAAGTCCGCATGTATTTTCAGAGCTACATTTGAACCCGAAGACATCGTACCTGAGCCCCGCACCGTCCTTGGCCGAGACGTTAATGTGATACATGGACGTGGTCTTGGACAGGGGACGCGTGACGAAAATCCCGCCAGTTTTGCTGTCTAGACGGAAGAGTTCCGTCTCGTTGCCACCTACCAGCTCGTATGTCACCTGACGGAACAATCAAAATAATGCAATATAGAATCGTCCGAAAATCGCTCATAAGTTCAATACTCGTTATTTCAGATTTTTTTCGGTGAAAATGTTCATGACACTTTTTTCCTCTTTCATCAAGCGCTGCACACACTCTCGCCGAAACCCCATGACAAGAGCATTAATCTAATCGCAACAAAAAATTTGTTAATAGCAAACAATTCACAAAACAGCAGCAGATATAATCTCTTCCTAAATGAGCTGGTGAGCTCTTCCTAAATGAAATTTTCAGTACGAATAGAATCGTGAAAATAGCTTTTTTTCACTGCCAGGACCAACGAGAAGTACTTTTCTTTCCATATACCATTAAATAATCATATCTTTCCTTTCAAAAACAATATAACGATTATTCACTTATAATATAACGATTATCCGCTTATAATATAACGATTACCCACTTATGATACAACGATTACCCATTTATAATATGAAAATTACCTACTTATAATATAACGATTACTATATATATTTCAATTCAATCAATCAATTTTCTGATCAATCTGATCAGTAAATTGATTGCGGGCCTATAACATCCATGTCTTGTAGGCAACACAAAATCACAACTGCTCAGACTTTGTCACAAATTTGATCAGTTTCCATAATATTCGCTGGCCTTATTAAAACAATTTCTGTAAAGTTCAAACTTCGGTAAGATTTAACAATTTTTTTATGCATTAAAATCAGTCGTATTTTAAAGAATAGAAATTAACAATGAAGATGGCGACATACCTGTCCGTAGGTGCCTGAATCTTTGTCAGTTGCGACGACCACGACTACGGGAGACGAAGAGACGTGGTTTTCCCTCAGCGACACATTGTACTGACGAGGGTAGAAGGCAGGACGATTGTCGTTCACGTCAGTGAGCTGAACTTTGACCATGGCAGTGGTGCTCAGACCGCCTGTAGCGCGGGAACAAACCAAACACGTTTAGACCATTTCGAAACCAGTTGGGCAGATCCAATGACCAGTTTCTCATGAGAAGAAAAATGTCGCTTCAGGATTTTATATTTTTTCGATGCTTTAACCTCCGTTAGATGAATTTGTTTTGTTATGGCTTATTTTTAAACTCTATAAAAACCGAACAAAATACAACAATAGAAAGCCTTAAGTTCGAACTCAATTCCGCGAAGCCATCATAACTAATTTCACTTTTCAAAATCCCCATCAAATAGAACAAATAAATTAAGGCTTATGAGTATATATTATCGGTCATCGCATTTGACTGAATAAAATATACTGACAATAAAATTGAACATAATTTTTTATGTTCAGTTGTGCTCAAATGCCATCAAAAAGTAAACAGCATACAGGTTTTCAGATGATTGCATCAGAATACAAAAACGTAAAGCTTGCGTTTTTGGATAAAATCTTTTCCACAGTCGGCACATGCTCGTGAAACTCGTGCCGACAGCAACAGAGTTGGAAACAATAGCGTTGAAAGTATCTTGAAATATGCGTAAGTGCTCGCCAAATAAAATCCATTAAGATAGCCAAGCATGCGCAAGTTTCTTCTCTGTGTAGTGGGAAGCAGGCTGCAGTGCTGCAAGACAAGGCATTGCTATAGGGAGTAACAGTATCATAGATTCATCTGGGATGTTTTCTATACTCTTATATGCTCCCTGAGGTTTGTGTGTGTGTAGGTATATATAAATAGTTCAGTTCAAGAAAGAGTGAGCCTTTCCTTATATAAACTCCTCACTCAGTGTCTTGCTTATCTTCATATCCTCCGAGTTCTTGAAAAATTATGTGTCATTTTTATCAAGCAAGTTGAGTAGGTTGGATGTACGAGGCTTCGTGCAAGACGTGCTATTCGTACGACGCCAACACGATCGCTGCCCGGCAATGCATAGGCCATCATGCGCATGGCCACGATATGTGCAGTCGCTGCATCTCTTAACAACGCAGCCATCTCGCTTCCTCCAACTTTCGCTCGAGAAATTCACAATAACCGTTTTAAAATTAGAATCTCATTCGAAATTTTAAGCCTCACGAGTACAAATGTTACGCTTACATAGTTCTTAACTGTACGCTGTTTTTTTATAGCATTTATGCTAGAGTTCATAATAAATTTATATTTTAGGTATTTGATGTTGACAATATTTCCAACTTAGAATTTATTTCAAGCAGGGAATGACCATAAATTCACGAACTTATAATTATATTTCATCACAAGAACCAAATACAGTATAACCCTGGAAGTAAACTCGACATAATCATTAATTTATACAAAATTTATGCAGAATCGTGACTCAGACGTCGGCGTTACTTCGGAAGTCGACGCAACCCACGCGACTTCTATAAACAAACGCCGTTCTCTTTCGCTCATACACCGCAAGTTGGCCTTAGTCTGCTGCACTATTGAGTGTTTATAAGAACGCTTTTAGGCTCAGCTGTGAATTTTGCAAATTTTACGTGATATTTTTTGCACCTAAGAAAGAGTTGCATCGGAAGTCGACCACTTCAGAAGTCGACGCTACTTTTGAACGGATAACGACATCGCTGTTACTTCTTCATAATTACTGCGATAAAGATGTAAGTCAAACATTGCGAACTAGGCTTGTTTAGTGCAATTACACTTTACTGAACGATGCCTGTCAAAATCAAACCAGACATATATTGACGCCTAAAAAACAACTGGTTTTGTCTAAAAATTTCATTCGTTTCCATAGCGAATGAACTTTTGCAACAGTAAAACAAATGTTTTGAATTACTGTTTACCTTTGCATGTTTTGAATGACTGTTTGCACAGTTGCATGTTTCATTAATAGTTTGCCCACATTTCCATTCAGAACGATGGTTTGGATGAGTGGATGTTTACAATGATTGCGTGTACATACATGTGCACGTCATGACTGATGCATGTACACAAGTGCATGTTGTGTGCTACGGATAAATGACTTGAGTCCTTTGAATGATAGTGTAAATACGAGAACGTTTCCTGCTGCGGCTAATGGCAACAATGCTTCAAAAAATTGAACAGTCTCGAAATATCGTTGATCAAAATGCGGCGTAGAGATAATGTCTTTTTCCTAAAAACATCAATAAAAAAACTTAAACAGTCATATACAAATTAGATTGCCATAAATTCATCTAGAACGATCACACAATGATGTTTGACACAATCGTGTTGAACGTTCATTAGGTATAATTTTTACCAGATGACTACCGTTGATGGCTTATTTGTACAACAATACGTACTTGTATGGCGATGCGAGATGCGTATTTGAACAACATTGGGGCACAGCACTTTGTCATTTTCTCGGGAGATGTCCCCCTGATATCGTAAAATTATTATTTTGTTGTATTATAAGATTGAATTTGACTTTTATTTTTTCTCTGAATGCATTCCTTGACAAATTAAGAGCAGCCACGTTTAGTTACCAAGAAGTGTGGAACTTTTCGGAAGGGAAATGCTTTCATTTAGTGAGGCCATTGCTGCGTACGTCGCGCTTGTTATAAGGACAAAATATCCCTCTTATGTTAGTGCATCGCATCACATGCAATAAACATTCTCGAACCGTCGGTCTAGAATAATTTCTTTTTTCGTCTATGTATATCGGTTTTACCGCATCATAAACCTGACGCTATAATACTTCACCGTTTCAAAATTAATCGGAATGCAGTCAGTGACCAAATATACGTGCATTGATTGAGGTCGCGCAGCCGAGTATGACTAATTTGAAAAGTACAGGGTCGTTTGTCACGAGGAAAACAATTATTTCAATAGATGATGAAAGTCTTGAATTTCGTAAACATTTTGAAAGCGGAATATTGAGGAGTGAATTTTTGTTTTCAATTTAGCTTGTTTCCAAATTCCATCATGAAATCAAAATATATGATATTAAAAATGTGTCCCTAGGCCAACTTTTCAGGTCTGGCCTTATTTACTATTACATCTACCATTGAATGATAGTAAGTTGCTTCGATGATATAGACTGAATGTAATGATGGTTGACAACTCATCTATTGAGTTTGTACTCTTGAATATTTGTAAACATTATTTTCCTGCATGTTATAGGAGGAATGATATATGCGTATATAGCCAATGTTCATTGACGCCTGTAGCTGCATGATCAAGTACACGAGACGACGCGCACGCCATCTATCATCCGAAAAAAAGGCTGTAAGAAAATCAGGATGATTATTTTTCGTGAAGATGCAATAAACTTGTAGATTTAGATTGGTAAATTCATAGCGGAATGGGCAGAACAATTTTTGTATTTCATGAGAGACTTTACGTGAGCGGCACCAATGCCTAGCTGTTAACCACACTGTTGTATTTTCTCTACGAGGTTGATAATCGTATATTCTTGTAGTACTCTCGTGAGCACGCAATTCGCCGGGTTGCTTCTAACCTAACTATTGGGGTGATCATTAGTGTTAGCTGTAATATTTTTCTCAATTTTTCACAAGAATCATATCTTGACTTATCGATTTCGAACAATGTTCATTAGGAACCAATGATGTTCATTAGGAAACAAGACCACAATAATGCATTGAACAGGAGCGAGCTATTTTCTTCTCGTTCAACCAACAAACTGAAAAGGCCGCATCAATCAAACAGATATGGGTTCGGTTTCAACGGCCCATGGTAGATGCGTTTAATTGTACGTCAACAGATCACAAAAGACGCATGCAGCGCCTTAAACTTTACCCAGCAAAATTGGCTCCGCGGAAGTCGACCGAATTGGAATACGACACACTATAAATTTGACGAACAATTTTGTTAATATTGAGGCTCATAAGTCGACGAAATATTAGGAAGCCGACGTGACTTTTGTAAGCAAACGCCGCTGTACCGCACATCCGCTGATAGTTGACGTTAGTCTGCTGCTACATTGCGAGAGTATATATGACATATATATGATGTGTTCAGATTCTGCTGTTCGATTTTGCGTATTCTGACCAATTTTTTGGGATTGAAATACAATATGATATGGAATTTAAACGTTTCAGTAATCGACGCTTTTCCTGAAACAAATTAACGGCGTTTCAAACTATTAAATTAATACATAGATAGTCACTATTAATAAAATGTAAATCTCTCACTAGTATTTTTTATCTGGTAGCCTAGGAGAAGTTCTGTTTTGAAGCAAACCTAAGATTCTATTTTTTAAATTCTCTATCGACATTATCAACAAAGAATATAAAAGGAATATACTAGGGCTCCCAGAAGCGATATATTTGATACGATAAATGCAGAACGAACACGTCACCTCGGTCTGTGGCCACCACGGGGAACTCGTACACAGAGCGCGTCTCGTGATCCAGGCGCCCAGAGATGCATATGTCGCCGCTCACAGGTCTGATCTCGAACTCCCGAAAGCGCCTGAAGCCTTCGCCTATTGTGTAGTTGACGTCTGCGTTGACGCCGCAGTCCGGATCTTCAGCAGACACCTGAAAGATTACAAAAATAATGTTTAAATTACCGAACGATAAAGCAGTACGTAGATCTTCGTGAATAATTAGCCGTTTTCAGTAATTTTACATTACATGAAAACTTCTAGAGACAAATACTACTCTGTTATATATGATATTCTCAGATTTAAACAGGTCTTAGGGAAGTGTAACGATCATTCCTTGTATAGCAAGGGTCCTAGGTTATGTACTACACGTAAAAGTAAAACTTGAAATGCTCCATGTCATCGAGATCGATAGTGGTTATGTTGGTTGTCCAGTGATATGTTGCTACGTTAGTGGCATGTGGTTCAGTCGCATGTTGGATGTTGGTTGTACGTAAGTGATATAGTGATATGTTGGTGGCTTGGCTTAAAGTGGAATGTTGGTTGTAAATGGTGTTATGGCATGTTGCTATACGTTGGCGGGTCGTTCAGTAGTACGTTAGTGGCAAGTTATATAGTAGCATGTTGCGATGTGGCATTTACATGTGGCTATGTTGGCAGTTCGATGTTTGATGGAGCGTATTGGAGCAATGGACACCGAATTCTCGGTGCTTGCGGTCGTGAGCGTCACAATTGAATGATAAAATTAAGCAAGACTTCACTTTAATTTTATACATATTTTAGTATTTAGACAAGATGGTCGAAAAACGAATAGTGCTGTATTCACGCATGCATAAACAATGACAGGGCTCTAGTTTCAGAGTTAAAATGTAAAAACATTTCATTTTACATTAAATTGAAACGAAAAGTAGAAATGGCATGTAAAGTTCATTTTATAAACAAACAGAATTATCACAAATCAGGAAATAAATTTTCTCCGAATTTTCGACACATGTTAAACGAATTACAGGGCGATATAATATAGTATTGGATGCTACATAACTGATAGAATAGTCTTTAAAGAATTATCTTGAAGGCCAAAATAAGTACCTACCACAGAAAAAGATATCAGTCCCAGTCTCGTTCACGCGATGTTCTCAATATTCCAGAGATCAATGTGATTCCTCGTGCCCATCATTAATATAAAGGAATGAAAACAATAAAAGCGTTAATTCACGGACTGAACTTGAGCCAGATGCCTAGAGATGCTCACACGAAGAGAGATGCACAATTTGTATAAATGCGTTTAATGATGTTGTTTTTCCCATCTTAATTTCAAATTAATAGGAATTTGATATGCAATGCTACGAATTAATTGCTGCATTTACATGATAATTAACTTCTGAAAGCGGTTATTGCTTCCAGCAGTAGATTGTATTGCTCATTCAGCCCATCGCAGCTTAAAAGCACTCGTCTACAAATGAGGCAAGACTACAGGGTAAATGAAGGGTTTCCAATTACAGGGTAAATAAAGGGTTTCCAATTACAGGGTAAATGAAGGGTTTCCAATTACAGGGTACACGAAGGGTTTCCAATTACAGGGTACACGAAGGGTTTCCAATTACAGAGTACACGAAGGGTTTCCAATTACAGGGCACACGAAGGGTTTCCAATTTACCCTCTTGAAAAAGTTCAATGATAGTGATCTCCACGCAGCATCGACAAAGGTTACATTTCATTCTCAATGTTACGTTGAATTAACGTACATATAAACAGGAACGAAATAGTACGAGAATCCCACTCGCAGGCAAGCGAGAATACAAGTGCGGCTCGTGAAGGTACATCGAATTCCCATGCTGAGGAGCCATTAAAGTGTCTCTTATGAGATTGCTTTGCGACCTTTTCCAAAGCCTGCACTTTTATGATGTTTGCCAAGACTAATCCTCGTGGAACTTGCCATCTTTGTGAACGCTAAACGTACCAAGGATTCATTTGTTTCATAAAGAACTACCTCGTCGCTGCTGCATTTATTCATGAGGCGCTCCGGGGGAAAGTAAAAATATAAATGAAAAACTCATTTGCACACCGAATTGAAAACTAATAGTAGGATTAAAATTACAGGGGGAAAAACCCTGACAGGACACGACTAAGTTTTAAAGCTTCAATTGAAACTTTTAATATATACAATGTCCAACTTTGAGGTGTTATGAAAAGAAACTAGGAACATTTGGAGTAATTATTCTCGGAAAACTAGCGCTGAGAATTCATACTTAAGAACGCCGAGCTAATTGAACTCCGATTTATTTACCCATTTCAGTTGACTCAAATGAAGTGGCCTGTGATCTTGATTTGTGACCATGATAAGTAAGATTTGACGACGTTAGAGTTCTCATCAGAGAATATGTTAGGAAAATAAATATTTGAAATTTCTTGAATGCAAATTCGTTGACAATGTCTAAGAGCGCAGTTGCATGGGAGTTAAACTTTGATGTGACAGAAGCAGGAGCGGCAGGCAGCTAGACGGAGCTGCCGTTGCTCTGGCCAGGAAGAGGACGGATGGTCGAAGCGTCAACAGAGATCGTCCAAGAGTCAAACCGGTGGTAATGGAAGTGGGGTGGGGAGCAGGTGAAAGGAACGTGGAGGAGTTGGAAGGGGACTTATGAGAGCGAGGGAAGGGGGTGTGGAGGGATGGCAGGCACCCTGCTGTGACCCCGCGGGACGGTGTGTGTAGTGCAAGAGCTTGACAATGAAGTAGCGAGGAGAGTGTGCGGGATCACCGGCTCCTACTGAGTCGCCGACACTCGTGTGTCTCTCTCTTTTGCACTCGCCCCCCTCCTTCTCCTGACTCGACGTGCGCTCGTTCTGACGCTCCTGTCCCGTACATGAGCTTCCGAGCAAACGTATTCCCAAGCAAAGCTGCCCGATTGTCTAGATAGATGATAACCTACGCTTGAAGTCACATTGGCCTCTTCCGTAAAAGATCGATAGCATCGCAACTGGCAACTTCGGTCTCCCACTGAGTACGAAAAATGGCCGTTGCAGTGATGAAGGTTCCGTTTGATGACAAACAGGGTGTTGTTCTTTGCACGGAAAATAAACTTTCATGCCAAATTTAATTTTATTTTAATTTTGAACTGGACAAAAAGGAAGTATCAGGTAAGTAAAGGACAAAATCAGGCGGTATCAGGTGACGATAAACGAAGGACAAAATCAGGCGGTATCAGGTGACGGTAAACGAAGGACAAAATCAGGCGGTATCAGGTGACGGTAAACGAAGGACAAAATCAGGCGGTATCAGGTGACGGTAAACGAAGGACAAAATCAGGTGGTATATATAAGGTGACGGTAAACTAAGGACAAAATCAGGCGGTATCCGGTGACGGTAAACGAAGGACAAAATCAGGCGGTATCAGGTGACGGTAAACGAAGGACTAAATGTGTTGGTATCAGAAGACGTTTCGTTCACGGAAAATGTGTTCAAACTTCGAACTCAATTGCAAAAAAAGGTGGGCCATGAGTGCGGAAGTCGGGTACACATCGAGAATGATTGCTCTGTTATTAAATATAATTTTTCCGAAATAAACACGAATCCAGTCTGCGATTCAGGATACGCTCTAAAACCGCAAGATTCGATTCTCACAATTTTGACGGCGAGATGTAGCTCGATACAATTTCCTCAATGAAACAGCGATAAGTCTCTAGATATCGTCTCCCTGGCATGTACGTTGGGAGAGGAAAGAGTTGTGTACGTGGAAAGAGAGTAGATGAAAGTTAGAGACAATGAGAGTAAACAATCGTAACTTCGATTCGAGATGAGCCTCAAAGTCATAAACATTTCGCTTCTTCTGTTCTCTGCGTCTATCATCAAATTATATCTATAGGAGCCGCAATATGTTGCGGGTTGTCGGGACTTCAAAAACACACGGAATGGTTTTCATTTCACATCTTCATCGAACTACACAATGGATTTTCCTGTTACTTCATTTTACGTTAAAAGAAGATAATACTTGTTCCTTATATTTCCAAAACACCCATAGCCCGTTATCCCAAATTACAATTTATCATGCAGTAGGTTCTGAACTTCTGAGAAAGCAATATATAGCTAGAGGTGCGCGCGCAAAGTTCCCGTAGCACAGTTAGGGTTATCTTTTTGTTATCGAGATTCGACAGTTAAATTTGTGTTCTCTACCATATACTACGTGGAGGAAAATACCGCCGCTAAAATTGGAGAGAGAGATCGCAAATGGATAATACAAACAAATATAGGCATAAAACAGACATTCCATCTAGCACATCAAGAGACTATATTATACAGCCGCTTTGTAACTTTAGTTATCAAGCGAAAAGGTGTAAACGTAATTACTTCAGATTATTCGAAATTTCAAAGTCGATTCATCCAGATTTCAATGATCGGTATTAATGCAACCATTCGTGTTTATTAGACCCAAATGCCAGCAATATGGTATGAAATGATAAGTTATACAATTTCCCACACATCCAATTTAGTTAGGTCGTGTCGCAATATCATGACTTCTGATAACATTGAGTCCTTGACAGTAAGATAATGTCAGAGCTTCCGATGTTATACCAACCGCAGTCTCAGTATGATACCGTTTAAAAGCAGTAAACCCTTTATGTAAGTGAAAATTCAATAATTTACAAGAAAACTTATTTATATAGACGCAATAACATACTAGCTAATCCTACGAAAAGTTAAAAATGTGAATTTCTTGTTGATATAACCTCTGCCTTATGATATGTTCATCATCACAATCCATCGATTCTTGAATGCTCGTAGTGTAATACACAAAATAGTGTCAACTCTCATACATCATAAATAATCACTAAGGCACATCACATCATACAAACTCTGTCACGAATAACCAGCTCACTGATTACCCCCACATTACATATGTTGCTGACGGAGCTCATGGGGCTCTAGGGTGGCACCCACGGAGGGAGGAGTTCCCCCATTTTTTCGACGGTGCTGATGGGGCTCTTATGTCGCACCCGTGGAGACAGGAGTTCCCCATGTGGCTGACGGGGCTGATGGGGCTCTATAAGAGCTCATCCACCCAGGGTAAAGTCCCCCATGTTGCTGATGGGGCTCAAGGGTCGTATTGAGGTTGATGCTAACATTGCTATAGCTATTTATTCTAACATTGCATGCTATTT